AGCATAGGTGTCTATGTAAATAAGACTGTCTTTTACTATGGGAATTTGCATTCACTCCCTTTTTTCCCATGCCCTGCTTTCTCCTACTTCTTACTAGGCCTATCTCCAATAACTCTGGACCCTAAAACAGCTCACCCAAATTTGGTGCTCTCCAAAAACCGAACAAGTGTGTGGCATGGTGACCTCAAGCAGGCGTTGCCTGATGATCCAGAGAGGTTTGACTCAAGTGTGGCTGTGCTGGGCTCAAAAGGATTCACATCTGGAAAGTGGTACTGGGAAGTAGAAGTAGCAAAGAAGACAAAGTGGACAGTTGGAGTTGTCAGAGAATCCATCATTCGGAAGGGCAGCTGTCCTCTAACTCCTGAGCAAGGATTCTGGCTTTTAAGACTAAGGAACCAAACTGATTTAAAGGCTCTGGATTTGCCTTCTTGTAGTCTGAAGCTGATGGACAACCTCAACAGGGTGGGCATATACCTGGATTATGAAGCAGGACAACTGTCCTTCTACAATGCTAACACCATGATGCACATTTATACCTTCAGTACCACTTTCCTGGAGAAAGTTTATCCCTACTTCTGCCCCTGCCTTAATGATGGTGGAGAGAATAAAGAACCATTGCACATCTTACATCCACAGTAATTGGTCATACTATTGTATAAATTCAGAGTGATATTAAAGAGGTATTGAAATAGTTTACTAGTCTCACTGGATTCTCTTCCCAATTGATGGGGAACTCTGGAATAATGAAGAGAGGATTCATAAGTCAAATTTCATTCTCAATATTCTAAACGGATTTTGCTGGAGCCTTTCAAGATTTCATTCTACTTCCCTGAGGTCTTCTATGATAGAGGAGCCACTCTCTTGAGAGTGATCATGATGCTATTGTTACTGGAGCAAACTACAACTTGAGTTTGTGATGCCTGAAAACCCTTTTCAGACGTGCCCAGGAATTCTATCATGCTATCATTATTCTCCAGCATAACAACTCTTAGTAGATGAATTTTCAGATGTGTACAGTCTTCCTATTTAATTATCTTTTGGTATAAATTTTCATCTCATTTCTTTTCTAGAATTTGTTACTATAATTCTAAAAATCTGCTTCAGAGGCTTAAAGAAAGTATAAGAAATGGTCTGGGCCAGCTTTTAATCTTGTTTTGAATTTTCTCAAGATACTTCTTAGTCTAGCAAATCTGAGTCTTTCTCTTTCTTTCTTTCAGTTCCTATCCCCTGCTTTATCTTTCTATAGGAGCCCTTGTTTTTCTATACTCCAATACAGTAGGCCTTTTATAGTTGACCATTTCCCTACATTGACCACCTTTTTAAGTTGACCTAATTTTCATAGACTGGATATGCACCATATATGCTCAATGGAAGTTCCTTATGTTGACTGTCTTTGTAGGTTGACCCAGTTTGTTACAGTCCTTTGAGTGGTCAATTTATGGAGGTTCTATTGTACATTTAAGTATCTCCATCTACTTTTGATTATGTCCTTCCTTTTTCATTATTTCTGCCTATAATTTAAGTAGTACTATTTTTCATCTTTTCTCTCCAAGGTACTCACCCTCCAGCTTGTTCCTTCTTTCTAAGTCTAAAGTTCTTATTTTCATTCATCTCAGCAGTACTCTTGATGGGCTGTCCCTATTTCTTTTCCTTGGAAGAGTCTCCATATAAATGGCCTTCATTTTTTTTTCTTTTTTTTTTGAGACAGAGTCTCATTTTGTTGCCCTTAGTAGAATGCTGTGGTGTCACAGTTCACAGCAACCTCCAGCTCTTGGGCTACGGTGATTCTCTTGCCTCAGTCTCCCAAGTTGCTGGGACTACAAGCGCCCACCACAACACCCCGGCTATTTTTGTTACAGTTGCCACTGCTGTTTTAGCTGGCTGGGGCCAGGTTCTAAACCATCACCTTTGGTATATGGGGCTGGTGCCTTACCCACTGAACTACAGGCACTGCCCAGCCTTCTTTTCTATAGCTGACAATTTTAGGGAGACTTTTCATGGCCTATGACATTATAACTTTTGGCAGGGCAGAATCTCATTATCTCATCTGTCATAATGTGAAAAATAATGCATATACAACAGCTAATATTCATGTAGCATTGGCATATACTACATGCAGACATTTTTAACTGCTGATTTGGAGAAACAGCCATGACATGATTAAGGCTACATTCTTCAATTACATTGTTTTTCCAGCTGGGCAGTGGTGGCTCATGCCTGTAATCCTAGCACTCAGGGAGGCTAAGGCAGAAAGATA